CAATTGGTTTCTCTTTCTCTTTTCTCTTGAAGGCTATAAAGACTCAATCTGCAACTGAAGTAAAAGAGAATCTTCCCACTGGAACATAAATGCATGACTATTGCTCTATTGGGTCCAATCTGCAGTGGAGCAGGACATGCAGTGCCTGAGCCAACATGCAAGACCTGTAGTCTGCTAAAAGAAAATATACGCTTTTCTGTCCACAACACAAAGGAGGAGGAGCTTGCTTACACAACCAGCTTTCTGCTGCTCGGTGTCAGTAACTCTAAGCAAACCCTTTTGTCCTTCGCCATGATTTCCCTGAATAGAAGATGACCAATAACAGTAACCACCTCAGTAAAGTTCTCTCTGATCTTTTGAAGAGAAACAGGAATGCAGCATGCCGATAATTGGGAGCACACAAGGATGGTTTAGACAAGGAAATCACTCTGCAGAACATATCCCATGCCACCAAGAGAACCCATAAAACAAACAAACAAAACACCAAAACCACTAGACGCGTGCTAATGCATCTTCCACAAAGTCAAAATGCCTTTGGTCTCGACATCATTTAGTTCTGAAAACTGAATCCTGACTAACGATACCTTTTTCTTGTTGAAGACAGGGACATACTGGCTCCTGAGTGGCAGTGGCATTTGCCCCATACAGGCAGTGCAGGAGACCTGATGGGTCTAACAGTTCTCCCACCTGGGAACTGGCACAGCGCAAACCTTGCTTATGGGCAAGAGTCACAAAGAGGCTTCAGGATTTCGTAGCACCACATCCCACCTATAACCCAGGAGGCACTGGGTAACACAGTGTGCATAAGTCCAACAGTTACCTCCTGTATTTTAACTCCTGGCTGTTCAGCCAAAGCAGTGCGCTGAGCAAATGAGTTCACACTATTTGAGAACCACCTGTGGGTGCACCTACACACGCAGGCTTCATTCTACTTGTCACAACGTGTCCATGGATGTGAGCTTACCCAGACCCTCAGGCCATATCTAAATTAGAACCACATGGTATTACAGAAAAGTGCTTGCCAGCATATTTTAATATATATAACAACCCAAACACAGGTTTAGACAGCTCCAAAGAAGTCGGTCAGAAGCAAGATCTATGAAATCTTACAGCGATCACGTAAAAAAGGCAATCACTGCATACCTGCACCCACAACTTAGCTGTAGGCAGACCTGCACGGACAGCCCCGTTATGGCCGATTCCCGCAGGTGCCATTCCCGCACCTCTCTGCAGCCTCAGCACCGGGGGATGCGGGAAGAACCGCTCACCCCCGCTCAGCCCCAGCTCTCACAGCCCGCGCCCCGCAACCGGAGGGTGCCCCGATTCCCCAGGTCTGCCCGTGCCTAACCCGTGGTGAAGTGCGAATCTCCCCTAAAGGCTCCGGCTGGGAAACGCTTGCGTCTGGGGGAACAAAAGCAAGGACCCTTGCCCTGCACGCGGTGCTCGGCTCTGCGGGAGACGAGGAAAGCACTGAAAGAGGGGGAGGAAGCAACACGGAGGCAGCGAAGGGTGAATAACCATTTTTAAACGTGACTGTCACTTACTTATCCAGAATGAAGTAGAGATCAAAGGCGCCGTGACAGGAGCGCTGCTCTTCGTGTTCTTCCTCCTCCTCGGGCCGGGCGCAGCAGCTCAGGCTCCCGCTCGCCAGCAAGAAGCAGCACAGAAGTGCCGCTCTCTCCACGCTGCTCCTGCCACTCGCCATTTTTTCCCTTCCTTAATTCTTCCTCCTTCCCCCCTCCCCCCCCTCCCTGTCTGTCTCTTGAGAAGAGCCGAGGGAGGAGAAAGAAGAAGAAAAAAACAAAACAAAACAGGAAAAAAAACACAACCAACCAAACCAACACAACACCCACACCACCAAACCGCTAACTTCAGGATCTCGGCTGAAGGCTGTAGAGTGCCCGCGGGCACCAGGCTGCGGCTCAAGGCCGGTGGCGGGCTGGGGGCTGAGCCCGGCCGCAGGGTCCCCGGAGCCCCGTCCCAGCGACCCGCCACCCGCCCCGAGCTCGGCTGCGGCTCCGGCTCCGCACGGAGCGCAGCGGCTCCCTCTGCAAGGCCAGAGGCAGGAAGGGGCAGAGGGAGGGGAGCCGCGGGGGGAGACAGGATCTTATGGGGGAAAGCTGAACCGGGACTTTCCTGTTCCGGGATGCCGTGGAAAGGCTGCGGCGAGCGGGGCAGCGAGAGGAGGGAGAGCCGCGCTCCGGCTGCGGCCCCGCCGCTGCCGCGCCCGCGCCCTCCCTCCCGCGGTCACGAGGTGGGGGTCTACTTCCAGCATGCCCCCGGGACGAGCGGCAGAGGGGCTGCATAGGTGGAGCGGGGTGGAATATGTGGTAGTGGGAGTGATGAGCATCATTGCAAAAAGCTGTGAGAAACCGAGGAGAAGGACGCGGATAGGGCACATGTGCAACACTGAGTTGCGGAGTGCAATTGTAGTGGTGATTGCTGGGGGGCAGGGGTAGACAGGTTTTCACGACTCTCTCGTGTCACAGCACGTTCCTTCGTCTCTGTGGTGAAAAGTTTGACTTAGTCGCAACTGTACCCTGCAGGCAATGAGGGTGATGAAACGAAAATCTCTTAGTAGTGCTTCTTACGGCGGCATAACCCCACCCGCCCGGTTACAAAGCTCTGCCCCCAAGAGTCGCCCCGGCCCATTTGGATGCTGACTCCAAACTTTGCATAACCGCTGCCTTCCAGCCGCTCTTCCCTCCCCCACTGCCGCTGTAGCTCTAATTAATGGAAAGAGCCACAGGGAGGGATGAGCGCAGAGTCACTTTGCATGATGGACCCGGGACCATGACATTTTTCCCTATGTCTTTGAACACGATTCAAGGTCGAGGGAATCAGACCCCCCGTGGGGTACTGGCACGCTGCCCCGCCGGTCCTGCCCCAGAACACCCGTCGCTTTGATGGGGCCGAGGGGGGAGGGGGGCTTCGGCCGCGCCTCGCACCGTACAGCCGTTTTTAGGAGCAAAAAGTACCCTCTCCTCCCCGCGAACAGTCGGCATCCGAGGGGATGCGCGCTCTGGGATGGCACAAAGCGACCCCAGGCCTTACCCTTGCCCCCCTCTCCCCTCCCCGCATGTACATGGGTGGACGCGTAGCCCTCTCCCCGCCTCAGCTCCCCCCGCAGCACCCGCGTGCTTTGTGCGCCGTTGGCCGTTTCCCACGGGTCCAAAATAAAGATTGCTCAGCAGAGAGAGACTGAGCATCTCTCTTTCTCTTCCCTGTTCCTGGGCTGTGCAGGCACATCTGACCTCGGCGGTGGTGGGGGACTTTACAAGAGAAGAGAAGGGGTCCGCAAGGTTTCAGCCGCTTGTCCAGCTGGGATTACGCACAGCTGCCAGCTGGACGCATGGCTCGAGCTTACCGCTTTAAAACTTTTGTGCGCTGGCCAGCTCAGCTCCAGCGATTACTTAGATCACGGAGAAATACAAGAAACCCACATCCTCTCTGGTGACATTCACCAAAAATGAGCAAGCAGCCTCCGGGCAGCAGAAATCTTTTCTCCCTCTTTCCCCCCACCCCCCACCTCCATCACGCTCCGGCTGTGCCGCAGTTCGGTCCCGGGGCACCTCCTGACAGTGCAGCGCTCCCCACATTCCCTTACAGAGTATCGGGCTTCCAGATTCCATTTCAGATTCGGATTGTTTCGTAAAATACCATAGCAGGCTTCCAAGCAGGTTACAAAGAAAAATGTGCATTGTCCCTCATCTAGGGCCGCCACCGACTCGCTCTGCTGCAAGGCCCGACCCCAGATCGTAGAATCATAGAATCACAGAGTATCTCAAGTTGGAAAGGGACCCACGAGGATCATCGAGTTCAACTCCCGGCTCCACACCCAACCGCACAAAATTCAGAGCTGAGACTGAGAGCGTTGTCCAGTCGCTCCCTGAACTCCGGCACTTGGCACCGTGACCACTACACAGCATGTTCCATGCCCACCGCCTTCTGGTGAAGAACCATTTTCCCAGCACCCTCCCGATGCTCCCCTTGGAGGATCCACACCCACAGATCATCGCTCTGCAGGGTACAGAGATCCGCTCAGCCCCTTCCTGAGTCCCAGGTAGCTGTTGGTTCAATAAAAGCTGCAAAAGTAGGAGCACCAGAGACAGGGGCCGCAATTGGAATGGCTCAGCTCGGTTCCCTGACCACAGCCAGAAGGTGCTCTTTTGAGGTCGGTGGAGCCGCTCCCGCCTCTCTGGAACCAGCCCGAGGAGCGCAGCTCCGGCTCCAGTCCCCGCGCTGCGCGTGGAGCGTGACTCAGGATCGGTGTGAGATTACTCGTTAATTGTAGCGCAAATCCGTTCTTTCAAAAGCATTACGGAGCTGACGTTTCTTTTCCCTGTACAGGCCAGTATTCAGATTACACGGACACTAATCAAATAAGCTGGGTTATTGCCTTTGTCAACATGTTCATAAGGATTTTCTGCCAGGCGTTAAAGGCATTTATATGGAACGACATCTTTCAAAAGCAATGTTGCCGTCCGGATTTGGGGAATATTTGCTTCTGACAAGACGTGTGATGGCTGTATTTGCCATACCAGCTGTGCCATCAGCCGCTTCAAACCTCAGATTCCTCATTTTACATTCCCGCATTTTGCATCCAGCCGGTGCTCTCCGCGAAGCACCAATTTTCGCGTTTAGACGGTTCGCATCGATACGCGCGATGCCCCAAACGGCACCGCAATCAGCAGCCGTGTCGGGCGCTGCGAAGGAGCACCGGGAACGCATCCAAAGGCTTTGCCCTTTTTTTTCCCCCAACTTTAAAAGAAAGTCCTCTTCCTAGCGAACTGTTACACCGGGGAACCCCTCCCACCTCCTGCTCGCGGCCTCGCTGCTACCCGGGGGGGTTCCGCGGGGGAAGCGGCGGGGCTCGGGAGAAGGGGGGGTCGCTTTGGGCGGGGAGCGGCGGCGGTGTCGGGGAGGGGGACGCGGCCGCGCCGGGGCGGTGCGCGGGGTGGGGTGTGGGGGGGGGGGGGGGCGGCCCTGGAGTGGGATGCGGGCTCCGCGGGGACGCGGCCGCAGCCGGCTGCTGGAGTGAGGGCTGAGCGGAGCCCGTGAGCGCGGAGAGGTGAGAGGAGTTGAGGTGGAGGGGATACGGGGGCGGGCCGGCAGGCGAGGGAGGGCCGGGGCGGCCGTGGTGCCGGCGGCAGAGAGCGTTCAGCGCGGGGCGAAGCGGGCAGCTGCCGTCGGGCTGCTCTCCTTGGCGGTAAGAAGGGGGCAAAGGGGGTGAAGCGGCTCTCAGACGGTAGTGGGCGGGCGGGCGGCCCCGAGGGTCCGCGTCCCCGGCGAAGCTGTCCGGGCAGCGGGGTCGGGAGGGAGAGCCGCCGTCCTCAGCTCCTCCTCGGCAGCCCCGCGGCGCTCCGCTGCCTCCCGGCTCCTCGCCCCCGCCCGGACAGCTCGGGCGACGGCTGCCCCTTTGGTCTCTCTCTTCTTTCTTCTGACTGAGAGGTCGGAGCCTTCGTGGCTTTGGGTGCTTGGTTAGGGTCTGATCGCTTTAAGAAACAGATGAACTTTCTTTGGAATCTCTCTCCACACTACTCCGTATTTCTACCCAGTGTAAAGATATCCATGCTCCTTAGCAGGAATTTCTTACTGGTTCCATAAGTTAGAAACCGCTCTCGTCATCACTTGGAAATGTCACTTTGGTCTTCACGTTTATAAATCCTTTGTGTAAAGATTTCTGTAGGAACAGAGTCGGGTACAAAGGGGGGAAGCATCACGTTTGCTCTGTGGTCGGATGGGTGCTACTGCGGGAGATGGCAGTGGCAAACGTCGTGCGAGTTTTCACTAATTCTGTATTTTCCATGTAGCTGCTCTTAAATTAGAAGCATTTGCATTCGTGGGTTGAATTGGGGAATTTACAGATTCTTGCTGTGGAGCTGTCCCCTCTTTCTGGCTTTCAATAAAGCCAGACGTAGCGCTCATAGCTCCACTTACTCTTCATTAGGTATCATTGCTAATAGAAAGAGGGATTTAGTCAAGCAAGAGAAAAACCGGAAGGTTAAATTTAAGGTTTATTTTTTAGAAAATGTGTAAAGTGACACCAAATGGTTGTATGCTGTTTATGAGAGAACGTTTATGTGGGATTCAGGAACATCCCCTGTGTCAAAGCAAAGCAGTGCTCTGCAGAACCTGACAGAAATATCATCTTATTGAAAGAAAAAAAAAAAAGCTCCAAAGACATAGAAGCATTAAAGTCAAAATATTAGTTTAACTTCTATTAACTGAGTGGGAGAGAACAAAATAATAATAATAGTAGCAGTAGTAGTAATAATAAAAATATAAAAATAGATTCAGTGTGAGGAATTATAGAGTGAATGGAAGATTTTGCAGAAGAAATGACTTACCCTAAATCCTGGCATATCATATGTGTGTTTTTCCATGTCTGTAATGCTATGAATCTGTTAATATGGTTCTTCTCCAGCACTTGTTACCTGTATTTGCTGTTAATAAATCAGCTCAAAGAACAAAGTGCTGTTATTTCGTGCAGCTGGAGAAACCTCCAGCATGAACCATGTGAATGTGGCTACTCCTGAAATATTTATCTTGAAATCTAAATGGCAAGTATATAAAATTGCAAAAGATCCTACAGCTGTGCATGTAGCCATATGTACAACTGTGAGTGCGTGGCTGTGTTTATGTGTATATGCACATGAACACAGAAATCAATATATTCGTTTCTTGTTGAGCAGATATCACATTTTTTAAAAAATTGAAAGTTACCAAAAATAAATAGCAGGACTGTGATATGAAAATGAACCATCCACATCTTGCACAGCAACCAGATAAAGTCATTTCTTGCAGTCTATGAAAAGGTGACATGAATTTGAATTGGATGGAGAGAGCAGAGGTGGTTATTCTTTTCCTAAGTTACAGATGCTGTTGCTGTGTGGCTGTGGCACATCAGTCTGGCTGCATTGGCTTGTGCTGGCTGCTCGCTTTGCAGTGTTCTCTGTCTGCAAGTGGGGAATGGGGTTTTGTTTGCACGGATGCCCATGTAAAGACGAAATGCTCAGCCTCTGTGAGAACAGACGGGCCAGCACACACTGCCACAACCTGGGTCTCCCCAATGGATATAATAGCAGAGGAAAATTTGCATCATTACTTTTTCTGTTCTGCATCCCACGAAATGCTTTTGCTGTTTTAACATACACATTTGCTGTATGCTCTTTCTAGTGTAGTGTGAGAAATAGAGGCACTTTGGGATTTGTTTTCTCTCCCTTCTTGGTTGTGCCCTGTAAAATTCAAAATGCCTGTGACATTTTTGGGGCATTGTACCTACTGTGGAACACTGAGCAGTGCCAGAACAGCAAGGGCAGGAGGCAGACCCAGCCTCTGAAGTGACCACTGGCACAGTGCCAGCAGGAATATGAAATACACTGTGCTCTGAAATGAGGCTAATTCATAACATTTACAGGCCAATAATCCTCAGAGCTGACTGGAGAGCTACAACATGCTCCTGGTTTCCCACAGGAACCCTGTTTTTAATGTTCTAGGCTTTGAAGATGCAAGAACAAAAGTAGTAGGTAAGGGTAATGCAGCACATGGATGTTGTGTAGGCTGGTGAGGAGTCAGCCCTCCAGCATTGTGCCTTGCACCCAAAAATGAAATCTTTAAAAGGCATCAGACCACCGAGCTATAGTCATTTCCCTTTGTCTACTTGTGAATGACTTGCACAAGTCAACACCATCCACGAAGGCCCATTAGATCAAATGCAGTGCCAGGCAGAAGGATGTTATAATTGACAAAGAGCTGAGCTTGCTGTGGAGCTCCCACATGAAATTCACCGGGGCAGTGCACATACCCCTCCTGGAACTTGTTCCAGTCTTAATTATGTTTTCACTGAGCTAGATCTGACCCTGAACTTTGGACATTTCTTTCTTGAACTTCAAGTTCAAGGTGGTAATTGCATTCATGTGGTCTTGGGGGAAAAGTTCTGCCTCTTTTTCAGAGGCAGCTCTGCATATCTTCATGGCAGCTGCTATGCATCAGGTGAGAGCCCTCTTCGGCTTTCCTTGTCTTCAGAGGAAACATCAAAGAAAACGGGAATCTTACCTTTTAATCAAGTGGTTCCTGATCTCACAAGGCTTGCTGAAGGCAGATGTGGAACTTTAAATACTTACTCATTTCAAAGCAAGGTTTTAACTCTGTCTTCTTCATTATTCCCACTGAAGACTGAGGGATACTTCATAATAAAAAGGTTTGGCAGCTTCATGATTCACTAGACTGGGTATCCAGCCAAGATATAATGATGGCTCATCAGGAGCTGTCAGCTTGCATTGCCTGTACTGTGTGTTTCAGGTGATGGAAGACAGTCTGAAGACCACAGAGCCTTAAAATAGTAAGAGTTGGAGAGCTGCTCCCTGAAGGTACTGTGCAAATAGAATAGCAAAACTGTGAGCTTTCAATGAGCTTGGAGGTCTCTGATTCAGAAGAAACAATTCCATATTGGACTTGCACTCCACAAAGGGCCAATTTCTGGAAGCTCAGTATGTGTGTCAGGCTCTCCACTTGGAGATGCCCCATGATTCTTTCTGGGAATGTGCTGTTTCCCTGCTTGTACCCACTATTTTGTCAAGGCAGAGTTCTGCAGCTGCTGTGCAGGAAGGTGGGTCAGTTAGCTGGGGTCAGCTAAATGCTGAGCAAAACCATTTGCATGTAGCAGGCTAGTTCAGCCCCAGTTTTTCCCCACTAGTTTTAGACTCATCTCACCTATGCAGCCAGCAAATTCCTCCCTGATACAAAGCTGTGTTTTCTGCTGCTTCCCCCAGATGCCTGGTGCAGGCAAACTGCCCTAGAGGTGCAGAGGATGAGGTCAGAGCAGAAGAACTAGAGAGGTACTCACAGGATGGCCCGGTGTAGCCTTGGGTAAGAAAAATCATAGCTCTTACTGGCATTTTATTTATCATTGCTAATTGAATTCTTTCCACATGGATTGGAAGTGGTACACTGGCAGGAGTGGGCCTTCCTTGAGCCAGCTGATCCTGATCTCTGTGCAGAATCGTTGCTGGAATTCCAATTTGCCATTGATGAAACTGAGAGGATGAAAGAGGATACTTAGAGTTCAGGAATTCAATGAATACAATTTCTTGAAGATAAACAGGATGTCAAGACTCAGAAATATGACACGTGCTTAGTTTTCTGTCTTACAAAAAGCAGCACCTCATCCCTTCCCAAACTCATCCTAGACTTTGACATACTCTACTTTGAATGTAACACCTCCCTGAAGGGCAGTAAGCTCATAGCTTGGTGCAGCCCAGCCAGGCTGGGAAAGGCATCACATGGCGGCAGCAGCTGCTTCATGTCTCCACATCCACTCGTATGACCTTCTTCACACATATGGGCTTCTCAGCAGCAAAGGAAAGGCTCTGGGCCCCAAGGGAGAGACTTCCAGACCTGGCCAGGGCTGGAGCACAGTCTATCTTGCTGCAGCAGTGAGCTAAGGGAAAGGTTTTTTGTGCTTTAACAGTACCTCCTCAGTTTGTGGTTTAATGGATTTAAGAAGCAGGTTGAGTTTGTTTCTGCATTTGTTTGGGGGTATTTGGAATTATTTATGATATCTTTCAAAACAAGAATTCTCCTTTTCTTTCTTCGATTTCCTGCCAACTTTTTCCAGTTCTAGCTTTGATTCTTCTCCTTTGCAGTTCACAGAATGAATAAAAAGATAAGGAAACTCTGTGCAGGAGGAAACCAAATGTATGAAATTCAGGAAGTGAATTTTCTCACTTTTTCATCTCTGATTTCCCTGGAATTCCCCTCATGTGTTAAGAATCTTTAGTTCCTTACAACAACAGTGAATGACAAATTCTGTAGACAGAAGCACTCTGTCTGCATCAGCTCAGTTCTTCAGTATCTGTAGTTTATTGTGCATGACAATGCATGTCTGATCACAGATTTCTCGGGCTGACAGACCTTCTGAAATCAAAAGGAGTTTAGGCAGTGGCCACAGGAGTGCCAGGTTATATGCTCCAGGGAGAATACTGTCAGTGCTGTGACTAGTAAGTTAAAAGGAGAAGGGAATGATGGTTCCAATGTTTGTTTATTGCAGTTATGTCAGTATGGCAAGTG